TTTTTTTTTTTTTTTTTTTTTAAGACTCAAGGCCTGGAGGGGGTTTATAACTTGTTAGCGAATATTGAAGACATACTTCTTACACTCCCTCCACGTGTGCAGGCCGCATTCCAACAGTCCTACAACTTGTCTATAGTTCACTGACTGTTGGAGGCCAAGGGTTCACAAAAGGGGCTTCGTTCAGTCAAGTTCTATTCGAGGAGGACTACGTCCCATCTGAGAAGACACAGTCACATAGGGTGAGGCATCAACCTCCTGCCAACATTGGTGGAGGTAGAAGACGTCGTGATCGCGAACGACAACAACGCCCGTTCGGACTCGTCTAAGCTCGAAATTGAGTTTCGTTTCTTCCTATATGTCGCCAACGAACCCATCTACACAACCATGATTGCCCGTTCAATTTCGGGCTAAATTATTCTTCACGGGGCTAAATAATTAACAAATCACCCATTAACACGACCATGATTGCCTGTATTTTGATAATACGTTTTGTATTTTAAAATTAATGAATAAAAAGATTAATTATGTAGTATGTATTTTGTAGTATGTATTTTGTGTTTTCAGTCTCGTTTGGGCTCATTTGAACTCGGAATTGAGTTATGTTTTTTTCCTATACGTAGCTAACGAACCTCTCTACTTAATGATTCTTGCATGACCAAATTATCCTTGAAATCATATTCTCCCAAAACTCTTGACCTACATATTAAACGTGATTCGCGCGACTTTGCTTTTTGGGCCCGTGCGGACTCGTCCAAACTCACAATTAATTTCCGCTTCTTCTTATAAGTAGCCAACAAACCCTTCTACACAACCATAATTGCCCGGCCAATTTTTGGGCTAAATCTATTTCTCACCGGCTAAATAATTAACAAATCACCCATTATATAAATAGATGCCAATGGAGGATTTGTTAATGGGTGATTTGTTAACTATTTACCCCGTGAGAAATAGATTTAGCCCGAAAATTTACTGGTCAATGATGGTTGTGTAGGCGGGTTCGTTGGCTACGTATAAGAAGAAGCGGAAATTAATTTCGAGCTTGGACGCGTCCGAACGGGCCCAAAAAGCAAAGTCGTGCGAATCACGTTTAATGCGTAGGTCAAGAGTTTTGGGAGAATATGATTTCAAGAATAATTTGGTCATGCAAGTATCATTGAATGGAGGATTCGTTAGCTACGTATAGAAAAAACTAGAACTCAATTCCGAGTTCAAACGAGCCCAAAACACAAAATACATACTACAAAATACATACTACATATACGTTTTAGTTCTTAATTATTTGTAAAACTTTATATGGAAATATATTTTACAATTAAATATAAATTATAAACTTAGTTTTATTTATAACACGTATTTTTGAAATGCTTTTTACAATTAATTAGGTGTAAAACGTATTATCAGAATACGTTTTACAATTAAATATATATTATAAAATTAATTTTATTTATAAAACGTATTTCCAAATTACGTTTTACGTTGATTAAATTAACTTAATTATATGATTAATTTAATTGACAATAAAACATATTCCTCGGAATACGTGTTTTTGATTTTTGTCCACCCTCTTTTTTTTTTTTG